TTGGTCTTTTTTATTAAACTTTATAGCAATGTTTATGATTTTGCTTTGGGTGCTTTTTTTTTTGGCTTAGACTTGTTGAATCTAACTGATTTGGGTTGGTTTAGTAGAACCCAAGTGTGAAAGTTTGAAATTTTGATGCTATATAGCTCATGTAGCTGTGTGGCTGATCTTGTCGTGTAAGTTGTTGGTCAAATGAGTATTTTTAAGGGTCTAACTTAAATCATTTTGTCCATATGATCATTGAATTGCTTGCAACTTCATTCAGATTTGCTAGCTGAAGTGTTTTCCTTTACTGCTTATGGAGTCAATTCTTGTGCAAATGTTTAATTTTTCCTTTGTCCTTACTCTTCTTATCTGTGTTGTTGGAAGGTTTTCCACGGGCAGCCGATGCAACAGCCAGCTCCATCGGCGCCACATCAGCCTACATCAATCCGCCCTAGGGTTCGAGCTAGGCGTGGTCAGGCTACTGATCCACATAGCATCGCTGAGCGGGTATAGTTTGATACACTTAACTTCAGATTCTCTTTTGTATTTCCTTGTGATATACATGTTGGTGTCGAGTTGTTGGTAGTCGAAAGATGTAGAGTTTATTTGTTTCGAGTGAATTATCAATGTGTAGTGATCTTGGTTTTATGGAGGGATAAGCTGAGAACTTGTCTACTTTGTCACAGCTACGTAGAGAAAGAATAGCAGAGCGGATCAGGGCATTGCAGGAACTTGTACCTACTGTGAACAAGGTCTGTATCTTTCACTCGGAGCCTAGGCTTTGAACATTACTCATTTTCTGTTATTTGAAGTTCTTGAAGGTTTAATACTTACTGTTTTCTCGTCTTTATTTGCAGACCGATAGAGCTGCTATGATCGATGAGATTGTCGATTATGTAAAGTTTCTCAGGCTCCAAGTTAAGGTACATAACCCATCTAAGATCTCTCTTCCACATCTTTAATCACGAAGTAGCCAGTCTTTTTCTTTGTTCAAAGGATTAGAGATCTAAAAACATTCTGTCTTTGAAGTTATTGAGTAATATTTTAAAATCTCCAAATGGATTTCTAGTCTTAGTTTTGGTCCCACCATTACCTACCCTTCAACAAAATTTCAATCTGATTAGTGATTAGATCAATTTTTTAAATGCGGTAAAAGAATAAACAAAGTCCAAAATGCTTTTGTTTTCTTTGGCATTTAGTCTCTCTTTTCACTTTTTGTTTTGTCATAGAAGGATAAATCATGGTGTATGATTATAATACCATATCAAAACATCATTTACAATCATCATGATTACATTATATAATAGAGATCAAATGCCTTCTTATATCTAAAAATGCAGTCGGTTGCTTAAAGCTTTCGCAATCGAAAAAGAAAGTCTTTCTCTTTACTTTAAAAAGATAATGGAGACACTAAAGAAATAGGATGCAATTATGGATTTTTGTGATAAGATATTTATATGTCTTGTGAAATCTTCCATGCTCATCTATAAAAAGTAAAGCTTTTTATATTTCAACTATTTTTTTCATGGGATAAAGCTTATCTCTTTGAATGATTGGTATCTCCTCTTTGGTCAACTTTGGTAGGTTTTGAGCATGAGTCGTCTTGGTGGAGCCGGTGCGGTTGCTCCACTTGTTACTGATATGCCTTTGTCATCGTCAGTTGAGGTAAAAAAAAAACACAACTTTTTAAGAAGTTCAAAACTTTTGATTCAAAATTGGTGATGGGTTGTGATTCAAATTTGCTTAAAAAATCTCTTGAATAGGATGAAACAAGCGACGGTGGAAGAACACCCCAACCCGCGTGGGAGAAATGGTCGAACGATGGTACTGAACGTCAAGTGGCTAAATTGATGGAAGAAAATGTTGGAGCTGCAATGCAACTACTTCAGTCTAAGGCTCTTTGTATGATGCCAATCTCATTGGCTATGGCAATTTACCATTCTCAGCCTCCAGATACATCTTCAGTGGTTAAGCCTGAGACTAATCCACCACCATAAGGGGGTTTGTACAGAGCAATGCAACGGTCCAACATTGCTTTTGATTTCTACTGCTCTAATGACTCTGGTTTGGTCTGATTGCAAGGTAAAAAAAGGTAAAATAAGGCTTTGAAGATGGAATCAATGTAGGATTTGAAGTAGGTGTGGGAAAATTTGTCAAAAAGCTCACTTGATTAAGTATTATATGTGATCAATCATTTTACTTTTTATTTTTAGGTGGACTTTGATGAAAGCAATCTTTTTGTTTTTCAAGACTTTAGTGGGAGGTTGAGGAAGGAGCTTGAAGGGGTTATTATTAGAGTAGTAGAATGTGTGGGACCTTATTGAGTTTATGTACAAATTTGAAAATAAAAAAGCATTGGTAATTTATCACCCC